ATGAAGGATATCATTCCTTTTGGATAATTTTGACTCTAACTTTTTTCCTCTATAGGCTTAGTTTCCTCCCTTTACTCTTTTTTACTGAATAGTATTTGCTTTTTGAAAAAATGCATCCAGCAATTGAATCAGCCCCTTTCTGAAAGTGAACAAGCTCGTGATGCACTTTTTTAAGGTATCTCTTGCCTTTACAGTAGTTGAACTGTGAAATATTTTGAAAGATTCTGAAAAAATATTGTTATTTCTGCCAGTGGGAAGTGTTTCATGGATGCAAGAGCTGTACTGAAAATTGAGCTCAAATTCCTACTATATAGGGTATTTTTACCTCTTTGTATATCAAACACTATACAATATAACTTCTCCCTAATTTCTATCTTATTCTACAGGATATACACTTTCATGAACCATTCATAATAATAATAACTAACTGTGAAACTGTGGTTGTTATTTTGTCTATGATTGTTTTAAAATGTCAGGTAAGTGTAACAGAATGTGATGTTTGTGAAGATTCTGAAACAAATTCTTAGTAAAAGAGGCACAACTGAAACATCAAATCATTGGTATGACTAACACTAAAATCTGATTGGAATCTGAGATATCATGTTGATAGGAAACTATGAGAGACCAATAAGGAAAAGCAATGAGGGAATACATGTTTAAATTACTGGCCTAAGAAATCTGCCATTCTCACTTAAAAGTATGTAGATCTTAAGAGTTTCTACTTAGAGATTAGATTGTCTGTGGGACAGTGGTTAAAGCAGAGGAGGTTTTGATAGGTTTGTATTACTATAAAGACAAAAAACATAGGCAGTGCAAAAACAAGGTCAGCCAAATTTTGCAGGAAAAAGATCACATCAAAAATCACACACAGTATAAAACAATTATAGTACCACCAATAGGAGTCCAGGTAGGAGGTCTGAGACAGCGACATGAAGATTAATTCAGTGCATCTCCAATTGAGAGAAAGAAAATAACAAAAAAACTTTTTGGAGATGAGTCATGAGGCAAAACTAAGGACTCCATATTCCTCTGCAATAAACACAAAAAAAAAAAAAAAAAAAAAAAAAAAAAAAAAGAAAAGTGAGAATTCAAAGGAATAAGAGGATATCTGCCATATGACTTGAATTGCTTCACAAGCTCTTGATTTAAATGCTCTGCAGGAAAAAAAGGCTGCTATATTTGCAATTGAGTTATTAGATCACAAACCAATTCAATTTCAGCTGAATCATGGGACCAGATGCAATATGAGCTTCAGAAATATTGATAATATTACAAATATTACACTAGAGAAATGTAGCTGAGAGCTGGTGATATTCAGGATATGTACTGTGAGTCCTGTAAGCAAAAATAAGCTGTTAATAAGAAATCTGTGAAACAAGCAACATTATCTCTCAGTATCTGTAACAGCTGACAGACAGAAATACCTTGCTGAGCAACAGTGTCGCATAAAGAGCAATTTGCCCAACAAGTGCCATCAACACTACTTGGAACTGAAATAGCGAGGACAGCAGCATTGATAGGGATCATCCTCTTCCAGCAGCCCTAGGAAAACAATTGAAGAAGAAATAGGTATATCTCCAAAGGGGCTGTTACGTGTCAGAACAGCACGGTATGGATCTGCCTCCAAACAGTGCTGACAAAGTCTTTTGGTAAACTAGACATTGGCATTGGCTCAGAAACTCTTAATAGTGAAGAACAACATTTCTCACAAACAGCTTCTGAGGGTTCTTGCCTGCTTTGCCAACATCCTGGAGTGCCTATATTGTGTTAAATTATACAAGCTCTCCTGTCACCTGACAAAGTCTTCTGCAGCCTGTGGTGAGTACCTCCAAAGCCAAGTAGCTATGGATGCTTCCAGGAAGCATTCTAATTTACGCTGAACTTGGTGTAAACTGAACGAGGCATTAAGATCAGAGAAGATAATAGCTTTTATTTTAGGAAATTGCAAGGGCAAGGAAAAAGTAATGCAGTGCTATGACATCAAATTACAGTGACTGCTAACTAAGAAAAGGGAACACACAAGGCTGAGTGGAGGAAAGCTGGTAATCAGCTTCCCTACTTTGGACAAGTTCTTTGTCCATCCAAACCTTAAGAAAGCTACCAGGAGAAGTAGCACCACAAGAGTCAAAACCACCTTAACTCTCTGGGCTTAGTTCCCTTTCTTGTTAGTGATTCACTTCCACATTCCCATATCCAGGACCAGTGTCCTCCACCTGCAAAACAAGGTTCCTCCTGCCTCTCTCGCTGGAGCACTGTTGAACTCCATGTGGAAATACATGTTGGCTGAGAAGTATGAGCAGTGCTTTAGCCTTCTGGTTCTTACCTGAGAGGAGACTCTGATCTAATTCCTGCTTTAGTTAATGTTATTTGTTCATATTGAAAAAAGTATTTGCAGGAAAATAATCTTCTCATTCCTTGCACCCCCAAATAACAACTTCGTAGATGGCAATGAGAGTTCAAATTCACTCAGGCAGAGAAGAGAATGAGACCTGAATCCCCTTCATGCTTCAGAATTTACCTAGCCTCTAAGATACTAGAAAAGGGAAGACTGATGAAAGTGACCCATTTGTGAATCTTTTCCTGAAAAGACACCAAAAAACTATTCAGCAAAGATAATCCAAATCTGTCAAGTATTTGAGGGGACTGAGTAAAACTGCATCTTAGTTGAATTTAGTGCACAGAAAAAAAAAAAATCACCTACCATTTATCTACAATTTTGTTCAAAGGGAACTAAGCATAAATTCCAGGCAATTTAATAACTGATTTATAAGACAGACACATCCTCACAACTTCAAGCAGATATTGTCAAGAAGCAAAAGAGGGGGAGCATTCTCTTTTCCAGTAATGAATGTTCAGCTGAGATCATGTGTGGTACAGAAAGGGAAGTGCAAAGAGTACAGTGATTGACAGTGAATAGAGATTTCTGCCCCATGTGGTCACAGTGTAATTGTACAAAGGAGACTGTAGGATACAAATACACAGGCTGACCTGGCTCCAGGACATTCACACAAGTATTGTAATCAGAAAACTGAAAGGTGCTACTGTCTGCCAAAGCGCCCTGTTCAGGCAGTGTTGCACTGCAGTGAAATGGGATGATTTCTTGCCAAACGGGCATTTCAGCATAAGAAATTTGACCGCTGTACCCTCAATGCCTTCTGCAGAGTCAGTGGGAAAGGCAGCCAAGAGCTGGGTGGTGATGGCAGGATGGACAGAAAAGGACCCCTGTGGCACTGCTGGACTGTCACAACACACAGAAGTTGTAACAACCTGCGCTGGAGCTGCTTTGCTCCGAACAGGATTGGCTCTGATGGCCCCGCCAGCCCATCTGGCCATTCCATCACTGTCCTCCTCCACAGGACAGGGGACACAATGAGGGGAAATGTCATGGATCGAGATAAAATCAAGAAGATCAGTTACCAGCTACCGCCAAAGACAAAACTTGATTTGGGAAAAATTAATTTAATTTATTGGCAACTTAAAACAGAAACAAAGTCAAAAAATACTCCGTCGTCGTCATCCCCGCCTTTCCCCTTCATTGCCTCACCCTGATCCTTCTACCTCCTCCAGCCCGGAGCTTCTGTGAGGGGCTCAGCCCTGCCCGGGGGACCTCTGGAACCCGCCGGGAATGGCCGAGTCCAGCCGGGAATGGCCGAGTCCGGCCGGGAATGGCCGAATCCGGCCGGGAATGGCCGAGTCCGGCCGGGAATGGCCGAGTCCGGCCGGGAATGGCCGAGTCCGGCCGGGCCAGCCCCGCAGCCGGTGAGGGACGGAGCAAGGTGCGCAAGGCAGCCGGACAAGGTGAGCACGGCCGGGGCAGGGCCGAGAGGTGCCAGGTGAGGGAGCCGGGCTGCTTCCCACCTCGGCGGCCACCAGAGCGCTGCCGCCAGGTCAGTCCTTCTGGCTGCGTCCGGTTCATGGTCACGGTGACAAAGAAATCAGATACAGTTGCAAAAGAATGGCCAACAGTGAGTCTGCTCCCAAAATCAAAGACACAACAGGGACCCCGAGCGCTTCAGCTCGCTCGGAAAAGTAGGAAGAAATGCGGTTTGGAAACCTGAAAAATTCCACCAAGAATTAAAGCTGCAAAAATACTGAGGGCAAATCCCCCGGCAGGCAATCCCCCAGTGTCAGACTGACCCAGCACACAGGTTTTCATGGCAGAGTGAGAGAAGGCTCAGAGGCTCAGAAGGGCTGCGGGACAGGCTGTCCCTCAGGTGGGCTCCGGCTGGCGGCAGGGCCCAGAAGAGCAAGTGACAAAGTCTGTGGCACTGGACCCGCACCTGCCATTGACAGAAAAAGAAGGTAAGAGGATTTCAGAGAAGATACCAAAGTCAGCTCCCCTGCTCATGGCTGTAAGCCAAGCTGCTGTAGCAGAATCTGAAAAACAAAATTTGCGTTACAGGACTGTGAGCAAACCTCCCCCCCAGTATATAATAGTGTCCTCATCCCCACACAAGTATCACTTTCCCCTGTAGCAAACCTATTCCTTATTTGTAGAGGAGCGTGTACCTGGAGAAGAGTGTGATGTTTTTCTTAATGGATTATGCTTGAAGATAAACTGAAAAATAGTTTCTCATCTATATGCTTTAGTTTCCATTATTTTCCAAAGAGAATATCTGGTTTCTCAACTCAGGTTAGGACTAACCAAATGATTTTTATTTTTCAGTAAAAATGAGAGTAACACATCCAGATTAGACATTAGGTTGCAACTCCACGAATGCTGGTCTTCAATAAACAATAGCAAAAAACCCCAAAACAACCAAACCCAGAGGCTTTAAAGAAATGAGCTTACATTTATTTTATTTTTATTTTTTTTTCAAAATCAAATCCAGCTATCTCTGGTGTTGGCTGTGAGGGAGTCCTAAAAAGTTAGCGATGCAAAATCTTCAACAATACAAACCCAAACAGAAAGATTTCCGTTTCATAACAAAGTCAAAAACTGGAGTTTTGTTGGAGAACATGGGGAGTGACCCTGAGCTGTCTGCTCTAACTCTGCTGCAGGTGTTAACGAGGAGGGGAGGCACTCTCCAAACTGCGGTTCCTGGCTCGGACGGGACCTGGCAGTCCCCGGGAACCAGGTGAGTCCATGGAATCAGCCCGTATGCCACGGGAAAGTTCGCCGGGGTGCAAAGCAGGAAAAGTACAAGAGTTACTGGGCAGAGGACAGTCTCTGCCTGCCACCTTTACCCGCAGCTGAGTCAAACGACTTCTGCATCGATTGCTGAGGAGCGTTCGCAGCGCAGCTGGGGCCGGGCGGGAGGTGGCCGGGGCTGTTGCCCTCCTGGGATAGGGGAGAGCAGCCGGGGGCAGCGGGGGCCGCG